ACATAAAATCGTATTATAATATTGACAAAAACAAATAATAAAATAAAACATTAAAATCGAGATGTGTCTCGCTGTATTGCGCAAATACTCTTCTAATATATATATATATATATATATATATATATATATGTATGTATGATCCTATATAACTTTAAAATATAAAAATAATAATTAACAAATAAAAGAAAGCCCCCAACACGTAACCGTGCTTTAACACTTCACGTTATTAACGGCTTTTGATCCAATCAGTATCTAATTAAATATCCAAACTCGATACTTACAACTTCAATACTTATATAATATTTAATATATTTCAAAATACGATTAAAACATTATCGTTTTATATACATCACTATATATGATACAGTGTCTTTTGACTTATTTTTATCTGATAAGACATAACATCATGCTCGTTTACATAACCCCACATAAAGAAACGCCCTTTACAACCATGTACGAATTTACGTATTCAATAAATTGTTAAAACGATTGTTTTTTTATTAAGTATATAAAAGAAAGTTACAATTTTCGAGAGAAAAGAGTAGTGCGACAATCGAATTGAATTAGACAGAGAAAAAAATGTGCGTCGAGGTTTCTTTACATGCTTGTGGAAAAGGGTTTATAACAGACGATCTAATCAAACAAATCAGGTATATAATGATTCATTGTAACTCCCACGTTATAGATATCTTACTCGAATTCCGAGCTAGTTGGAAGTATATATGTTATATATATATATATATATATATATATATGCTTAATCAAATGAGAACCGATTAGTTTGTGATAACTGTGAGATCCATTCTCAACCACAAATCAACGGATAAATTAGAAAATCAATAATTATGGTAATTTGAGTTAAAATTATAATTAGAGGGCATTTTATGTATTTTTAAAAAACTCATCTCTCCTCTCTTCTCTCTCCTCTCTCATCCCTCATCTCTTCGACCTCCAATCTCCGGCCTCCGGTGAACAAAAATCCGGCAGATACCAAGTAATCACAAAGATACACAATATGATACCCATTGTGATATACAGTAGTACTCAAATGGTATCACAGTATACCACAATGGGTATCACAATATATCACAATCGCTATCACATTGTGTATCTTTGTGATTACTTGTTATCTGTCGGATTTTTGTTCACCGGAGGCCGGAGATTGGAGGTCGGAGAGATGAGTTTTTTAAAAATACCTAAAATGTCTTCTAATTATAATTTTAACTCAAACTACCATAATTATTAATTTCCTAATTTATCCATTGATTTGTGGTTGAGATTAGATCTCACAGTTATCACAAACTAATCAGTTATCTCTTGAATGGACCTATATATATATATATATATATATATATATGCGTTGAAGGCATGTTTGTTTATTTATTATAATTTCTTGTTTAACTAATTTAAATTTAATAATATGAATTATGTGAAGCTTTTATCATTTGTATATTAACGTGTATCAGATAATATGAGTTTAATATGTCAGCAGACTTCAACCTGATAAATTATTCTTGTTGTTATAAAGTACTGGAATATGATTTAAAAATAACATAAGTTTAAACATCGTATTTAAAATTCAATACTAAAATAATTATCATATTTCAAATATTCATATTTAAATTTGCAAATATATATATATATATATATGTTATAAAACATTTGACAAAAACTCTTAAAAACAATTTTTATGCATGAAATACTGTATATTGATGCATATTACTTAAAATTCAAGATTACAAGTAAATTATGCATAAGTACAACTTATTAAAGCTCCATGTTTGAATTCGTATAACTAACTGAGGATAAACATCTCATTTGAAAATATAAAAAATCTAAAATATTAATTATCGACTTCTAGTAAAATAACTAATTATTATCTTTATAAGAAAATTATATTATTAAATTAAATATAAATTAATTCGTTATTG